TCTTGTCTCTGACAGTTCAGGCCTTCTGCAGTATGGGTTCTTCTGCCCCACCTTTACAGCTTCATCTTCCACTTTGCCTCTTAGCTTTTGTCCAATTCAGCCTCTCACAAGCCCCTGTGGGGGCCCCCTGTCTCAGGGCCTCTGGTCATGTTGTTCCTCTCCGTAAATGCCTGGATCCTTCAATACCTGCTTCAAATGCCAATGTTGTCACAACCTTCCCTGACCTCTCCACCTTCTCCTTTCTCTAAACCACATGGCACCATATGTGGACCTCCCTTATGGAACCCACCGTATTCCACCTTCAGTAATGAAAGTATTATACCAGCACCACCAAGGACAACAATGGCAACATTTGTAAACACTCCAATGTGTCAGGCACTGTTCTGAGCACTTAAAAGTATGAGATTATTTAATAATCAGGATAACCCTGTGAGGGAATTCTGCTTCTGACCAAGAGAGAATAAAAGTATTAGAATTACCCCTCACCTAAAACAAAACAAAACAAACAAAATCTATGGAACAGTGCTTTTCAGGACACTGGATAGCAGTCAAAACTGATCCCTAAGAAGTAAGAAATAAAGGAGTTTAGCTCTGTCATTGCCCCAACTTACTGCACACAAAGGGTTTCCAGGCTGAGGCACAGCAAGAAGGAGCCCAGGAGGTCTATTCAGGTAGACTCCTTGAGTGTAAAACACAAAGCTAAGAATTTGGGGAAGCTGAGTCAGCTGGATTTCACAGGACAGAATCCCAGCAAAGAAAGAGCTGCACAGAGAGAACTCCAGAGATGTCCGCTGGGTCCCCTTGAGTATTCTGCTGAGACCTGCTCAACACTTCCATGGAAGAAAATTACTCAAAACTAGGGGAAAGACCACCCAAAATACTTAGAAGAGTACACAGCACTCACACCGAGCTGGGGATAGTGGCAGTTCCTGCTAGCCAGACCAGAAAGCCTCATAATTCAGAGGACATCAAATATAGTCCCCAAAAGGTCTTGCCTTAGCAGTGAAATAATGAGCCCTAAACTGGTCCCCCATAAAAGAGCTTATAAACAACCCAAAAGGTTAGCCTGTTTCCAAGTAGCTTACCTGCATCTCAGAACAAAGCTGAAGAATAATTATAGAAACATAAAAATATCCAGGACCCAACAAGGTAGAATTTACAATGTCTGTAGTTCAGTTAACAGGAAACAAACAGGAAAATATAACTCCTCATGAGAAGAAAAATCAACCAATTGAAACCAATTCAGAACTGACACGAATGTTAGAATTGACAGAGAATGGCATTAACCCATTTATGCCTAGTGTTCCATTATTAGAACGTTAGCTGTGGGAGTTATTTATATCGTACTGCTCAAGGTCAGTACCAACATCTGATTTTTCACACACACAAAATTGCAGCCTCCACCATAAATGGGATAAAACAGTCATTACAATTGTATTTATATATTCAAGAAACATTAAGTATAGATATGGAAGACATAAAAAGATATATGTGTATGTCTGTATTTACATCTGTATCACACATATTTTTCTTCTCTAGAAGTTTGATTTGAATATACACAGACATACATGTGTGTGTCACCCAGGCTGGCATGCAGTTATGTAATCTTGGCTCACACTGTGTGTGTGTGTGTGTGTGTGTGTGTGTGTGTGTGTGTGTATGGGAATTAACAATTGCAGAAAAAAAAATAGTTTGAAGATGTAGCAATAGAAATTATCTAAAATGAAAACAGAGAAAAGTGAACAGAGTACCAGTGAGCCATGGGACAACTTCCGGTGGCCTAAATGTGTGGGTAGTTGGAATTCCTAGAGAAGAGGAGAGAGGAAAAGTAGGATGATAACATATTGGAAGAATCAGTGGCTAAAATTTTGCCTAATTTGATGACAACTATAAACTCACAGATTTAAGAAACTCAGTGAATTCCAAGCATAAGAAACTTGAGGACAATTTTTCCAAAGTATTTGATAATCAAATTCCTCCAAACCACTGATAAAGAGAAAATCTTAAAAGCAACTGAAGGAAAAAGATTTATTATGTACACTAAAGAGCAAAGATTAGGTTGACAGCAGATTTCTTGTTTCAAATAATGCAAGTAAGAAGACAATGGAGGAATGTCCTCAAAACAATGAGGAAAACCTGCCACCTAAAATTCTATATTCAGAAAATATATCTTTCAAGAATGAAGATGAAATAACTTTTTTCAGACATACGGTGCTGAAAGTTTTTATTACTAGGAGATTCATACTGCAAGAAATGTTACAGGAAATCAGTCAGAAGGATTTTCATAACAGATAGAAATCTAGAGCCACACAGAAAAAAAAAAGGAGCTCTGGGAATGGTAACTACATGGGTACATATGTTAGATTCTCTTTTTATTTAAAAAATCTTCCAAAAATTTACTGGTCATACATCCAATGGAATATTATACAGCCATAAAAATGAATGAAGTTTTGATACAGTAAGCAGATGAACTTTGAAAACCTTATGCTAAGTAAAAGAAGCCAGACACAAAAGGTTGTTATTCTGTAATTCCATTTATATGAAATATCCAGAATAAGGAAAATCATAGAAACAGAAGATTGGTAGTTGCCAGGAACTTGGGGTGGGAGGACTGGGGAATAATTGCTTAGGAGGTGTGGGGTTTGCTTTTGCTTTGGGGATGGTGAAAATGTTCTCAGAGTAAATAGAGGTGGGGGCTACTCAATCTTAAATGTCACCTAATTGTTGACTTTAAAGTAGTAAATTTTGTGTTATGTGCATTTCACTTCAATACAAGAACATTTTAAAGACTGACTTGTTTCAATGCAAATAATAACAAAGTAGTGTGAAGTTTATAACACATATAAAATTAAATGTATGACAGAAATGGCATGAAGACCAGGAAGCAAGAAATGGAAGTAAATTCGCATAAGGTGTGTAAGCCAAAAGTATCTGAGACAGGTGTCAATCAATTTAGAAAGTTTATTTTGCCAAGGTTAAGGACACACCCATGACACAGCCTCAGGAGACCTTGATGACATGTTCCCAAGGTGACTGGGGCACAGCTTGGTTTTATACATTTTAGGTAGGCATGAGACATCAGTCAATATGTGTCAGATGTACACTGGTTTGGTCTAGAAAGGTGGGACAACTTGAAGCGAGGGCTTTCAGATCATAGTTAGATTAAGAGATTTTCTGATTGGCAATTGGTTGAAAGAGTTATTGTCAATAGAAAGGAACATCTGGGTTGCACTAAGGGGTTGTGGAGACCAAGTTTTTATTATGCAGCTGAAGCCTCCGGGTAGCAGGCCTCCGAGAGAATAGATTCTGAATGTTTCTTATCAGACTTCAAGAGTCTGTTCTATCTGAAATTTCAAAAGGAAGGAAGGTATAAGAAGGCATGTTCAGCTCCTCCTTCCCATCATGGCCTGAACTAGTTTTTCAGGATAACTTTGACATCCCCTTGCTGAGAGGATGGTTGGAGGGCCTTAGAATTTTATTTTTGGCTCTTGTACTCCATGTGAAGTGATACAACATCACTTGAAGGTACCCTGGGTTAAGTCGAAGATGTGTACTATAAACCCTAAAGCAGCCACTAAAACAACAAAGCAGAGTTATAGCTAATAAAGCCGCAAAGGGAGGGAAGGGGAAGCATAAGAGATGCTCAGCCCAGAAGAAGATGGTAAAAGGTGACTCTCAAAATAATTATGCTCAGTCAAAGGCCAGGCACAGGGGCTTATGCCTATAATCCCAGCACTTCGAGAAGCCAAAGTAGTGGATCACTTGAGGTGAGGAGTTCAAGACCAGCCTGGGCAACGTGGTGAAACCCCATCTAAACTAAAATTACAAAATTAGCCGGGCATGCTGCTGCATGCCTGTAATCCCAGCTACTCAGAGGCTGAGGCAGGAAAATCACTTGAACCTAGGAGGTGGAGGTTGCAGTGCACCGAGATTACATAACTGCATGCCAGCCTGGGTGACAGAGCGAGACTCTATCGCAAAAANAAAAAAAAAAAAAAAGCTAGACAAAAAAAATATGTACTGTATGTTTCCACTTATAGAAAACTCTAAAAAATGCAAACTCATCCATTGTAACTGAAAGCACATCAGTGGTTGCTGAGTGGGGGCAGGGGGTGGGATTACCTAGAACATGGACGTGTTTACTACCCTGGTTGTGGGGATGGTTTCATAGGGGTAGAAATATGTCAACATTTATCACAATGTGTACTGTAATTATGTGCAGGTTATTGTACAGAAGTTACAGCTCAATAAAGATGTTTTGATAAAAAGTAAGCTAAACTCTATGTGTTGGATGGTATTACCGTCTCTGCTTTCTAGATGAAGACGTGTAGCCATGCAGAGCTTAATGACTTACCCAAGGTCAAGTAAACCCTGGGCACCTGGCTTAAAGCCTACATGGAACAAAAGAAACAGAGAAGTGAGAATGCTTCAGAGGGGCTGGTTGGGAACTACAGACCCAACAGATAAATATTGGAATTTCAGGAAGAGAGGATGGGAGGACATTTCAGTCACTGCAGAGAGGGCAAGCCACAGAAACAAAGCACGTGGTGTGTAGAGCACAGCGCAGCTGGGAAAGGAAGTCCCGGATGTCCATGTATGAGTGAGTGGGGTAGGGGCAGAAGAACAGACCACACCTGTCCAGGGGGACCTTGGCTGGGATTGAGGTGGGGAGTTCCTTGGATCCCATGCTAAGGAGTTGAACTTTCATCCTCTAGGACATGGAGAGACTTTGACGGGTTTTCAGGAGAGCAACAGGCTGGGGTGACTCTTGAGGATGATGCATATGGAATGAAGGCTGGCTGGACTCCCTGAGCTCCTGGCACCTTCATAAGCAGGGACAGGCTTGTCTGATGTTGCTCCCTGTGGGTTCCCAGTGCATCTCCATTGTAAACCTTTGGTGGTCCTCAGGCTCCCGGGTCTGTGTACTCTGAAAGGCTGCTTGCTCTCCTGCCCCCTCCTCATTGCTGTCTGGGTTTGCATTCATTCCTATCCCCTCCCAGGTCCGAGGTGAATTGCTACAGGAGAGAGTGCAGCGGCTAGAGGCGCAGGAGGGAGGCTTTGCGCAGTCGCTTGTTGCTCTGCAGTTCCAGAAGGCAGCCCAGGTGACCGAGACCCTGTCGGCCTACACCGCCCTCCTCAGCATCCAGGACTTGCTCCTGGAAGAGCTGAGTGCGTCTGAGACGCTGACCAAGTCGGCCTGCGTGCAGATTCTGGAGTCACACAGCCGGGTGAGTGCCGGCGCTGGGAAGGAGGGGGACAGAGCTGCTTCCTTCTGGTACCTGCCTCTGCGTCTTCCCCTGTCCTGTCTCTGCTGCCGGTTGTGGTGAGGATTAAATGAGGTGACTTATTAGAGAGTACTTTGCACTCTCTCAACCCAAGATGGCTCTATTTTATCGCTCTGAGAAGCAACCGTTTTGGATTTTAACATCTCTGAAACTTGGCAGGTGCCGTGGTTTCGTTGGCAGAATTCTTTCATTGTGCTGGGGAAGACAATAGTGTATCTTCCAATTAGCGGCACCCTCAATGCAACAATATATTCGGTTGTTTATTATTTTTAAAATTCTAATTATAAGCATTATCGCAACATGCCACATTCTTTCCAAAATGTGAGAGGTATATCTGTAAAACAAAAGCGATGGTAATAACTGTTTTGGTGACTACTTTTAGGCCTTTTATGTGTAGATTTTAGAATTTCACTTATCTATTATTATCATAATTACTTATAGTGAGGAAAAAGGCCCTCACATTTGTTGAATCCCTAGTATGGGGAGGGAGGCGCCTCTAAGTTGTGAACAGACACGCGATCACTGAAGTGTTCATAATTCTTAGTTACATTTATTAAGATTATTACTTAAGCATGATTAATAAGAAGGTGCAATTTAATGCTACTTTCCAATTATGCTCTTTGTCATTTTATTCATTATTTAGCTATGTGGTGAAATAGATACTGCGATTATACTCAGATCTCGGGTAAACTGAGACTGGGGCAGGTGGCAGGTCAAGTTCTTTGTAAAGACCACATGGCTGATGACAGGAGCCAGGAATGGAATCTGTTTCTGATTTCAACCCATTATGTCAGGTCTATGGACTGTATCAGTTGAGTTTGCCATGTGAGGCTCCCATTACTTTCTTTAAAAAGTAACAACAGTAGATGCTGAAAAGTCTAAAACTGCTTTGGGGGTGGGCAGACAGTATGCATCCTGCACTGTAACAGCTATTTTACGGATAGAAAGAAAGCAAAAGCGTAATCCCAGCACTTTGGGAGGCCAAGGCCAGTGGATCACGAGGTCAAGAGATCCAGACCATCCTGGCCAACATGGTAAAACCCCATCTCTACTAAGAATACAAAAATTGGCCGGTCATGGTGGCGTGCTCCTGTCAGCCCCAGCTACTTGGGAGGCTGAGGCAGGAGAATTACTTGAACCTGGGAGGCAGAGATTGTAGTGAGCGAGATCACACCACTGCACTCTAGGCTGGGTGAAAGAGTGAGACTCCGTCTGAAAAGAAAGAAAGAAAAAGAGAGAGAGAGAGAGAGAGAAGGAGGGGGAGGGAAGGAAGGAAGGAAGGAAGGAAGGAAGGAAGGAAGGAAGGAAGGAAGGAAGGAAGGAAGGAAGGAAGGAAGGGCGAGTGAGCATTGTAGGTAATTCCTGCATAAAATAGCCAGATGCTGGACAAATGAGAGTGCACATATTTTTAATGCTTTGTGAGCTCACAAGGGTCTATGGAAAATCCCCAAATTACTCGAGGATGCAAGATATGTCCTAGAGCAATCTGAACTCACAGAGATAAGTGGAGGCAAATTCAGAAGCCAGTTTTACTACAGAGCAAAGGCTGAAACCTGCAACACAGGGACTTGGGATTAATATTGGAGGAATGGGAGATGAGGCTGTGGGATGTCTCAGTTAGCTAGAACACCCAGTGCAAAAAAAAAAAAGTGCAAAAAAAAAAAAAAAAAAAAGCCACCTGCTGCAAAAACCCGCCTCCACACCTGCTCCAGGTGAAACTCTTCCTGTGAGTTTTTCATCAAAGGCCTCTGCTAACATGAGGAACAAATCCATATGTATTTTAGCCATCCAGTCATGAAATCTCCAAGGTGATAAATTAAATTAAAATAATTCCAAGTTGGTTAACTGTCTTCTTGCAAAGACAAATCCTCTCCAGAAAAAAAATTTTCTGAATGGAGCAGCTCTGGATTTCCATAGATTAAGTCCAGCCGAATATGAGCTCTCAATTGAAGAAAAAAAAGTCACTGAACACATAAAGAAGCCAGGCAAGATGAGCTGCATACAGGAGAAGCAGGCAAACACAGGTTAAGATCCCTGAGTACTTCAGGGATGCCAATTATCAACACAGAATCTAAAATAATAATAATGTGTGAAATTGTTAAAGATATTACAAAAATGATTTAATTTTTTTTTTTCTGTTTTTAGACAGGGTCTCACTCTGTCAAGCAGGCTGGAATGCGGTGGCCGGGCAATCCTCCCACCTCCCTCCTCCAAGTAGCTGGGATTACAGAGGCATGCACCACCATGCCCAGCTATTTTTCTTTTATGTATTTTTTGGAGAGATGGGGTTTTACCCCATCTCAACTGGGCTCAAATGATCTTCCTGCCTCGGCCTGCTAAAGTTCCAGGATTACAGATGTGAGGCTACCACACCCGGGCTGATTTTAAAATGTTATTCATCTGGAGCATATAGTGATTTTAAGCTTGCATATATTTAATAAAAGACTCAAAATACCAAAAAGAACAGTTGCTAAAACAGGGAGAAATTGATAAATCTATTATCATAGTGGGAAATTTCTGCATGCTTCTGTCAGTGGTTGATTTATTGATTAAATGAAACACAAGTAAAGATATAGTTGAACTAAACAACACATTTAACAAGGTGTTTTAATACACATAACTCTTATAACTAAAAAATTATGAATATGTATCTCCAGCACATATTGGAACAGTTAAAAATAATTGACTATACAATATTATTTTAATAATTTTTGACAAGGAGAAATTAATTTTAAATCATTTTTTAAAAGATGATTATAAAGTGTCCATAATTTTGACTTTGGAAATTTTAAAATTGATTTTTTAAAATCGATTTTAGATATTGATTTTAGAAAAAAATCAAAATTTAAAAAATTAATTTTAGAAATTGATTTTAAAACATACTTTTGAATAATTTGCAGGTCAGAGATAACATAATGGAAATCTAAAAATACAGAGAATAACTATGATATATGCAAATATGTAGAATTCAGCTAAAGCGTTTTAGGAAGAAAATTTATGCCCCAAACTGATAATAGGGAAGTCGAAAGGCTCACAATTAAGATTACATAAAAAGGGGGAAAAGTAAGACATTTATTGTTTTTTATTTTGTTTATACCACATTTCTTCTAAAACATACAGATATTATACCTCAATAAATATATATATTTATTTTCTAATAAGCGTTGATATATTTGAGATTTTGCTTCCAAGTTTCGGGGTACAGGGGAGGTTTATCAAAAGCTTCAGGCTTTTGGTCTCTCACTCACCCAAGAATGGGAGAGGGGACCACGCCGGACGCAGTGTGCTCACAAGTAAATGTCAAACCCCAAAGAGTTTTTGCAGAAAGGGATTTATTTAGGCAGAGAGAAAGAGAGAGAAAAAAAGATGAAGGGGAGGGAGAGAAACAGCTAGCTGTCAAACTGAGTGAGGAGAAAGAAAAGCCGCTCTCACACTGAGTGAGAGAATCCAGAAAGATGGAATCCAGGAGAGAGAAAGCAGCTTCCACAAAGGTAGTGGAAGTGGACCCAAGTATGGAATCCAAGGAGGTGTGAAAGAAGGGGACTTTTAACCTGGGAGGAATTCCCACCTTCTGCAAGCCCCCTTGCCAATGAAAAGAGTTCCTTTAAACTTCCACTGCAGTGATTGATCTTTAATCCTTTCCCATATGCACCAAAGTTAAACAAAGACCTTTTCTCCCGGATGGAGACGTGGGGAAAGGCAGGTAGGGCAGGTCGCTGGCAAGTTCCTGCCCTAAAAACTACGCCCCTTTGTGGACCTGGGAAGAGAACACATTCCCTCAGTATATTGTTAAAAGTATATGGATTTTGGAAGACCAAGGTGGGTAGATCACCTGAGGTCAGGAGTTCGAGACTAACCTGGCCAACACAGTGACAACCTGTCTTTACTAAAAATACAGAATTAGCCAGGTGTGGTGGCACATGCCTATAGTCCCAGCCACTCAGGAGACTGAGACAGGTGAATTGATTGAACCCAGGAGGCAGAGGCTGCACTATACTTCAGCCTGGGTGAGCCAGATCGAGACTCCTTCTCAACAAATACAAGTATGTTTCTTCTGAAATATAGCATAAACAAAATTAAAAAACAAAACTGTCATAGAATTGATAAAGCGAAGAGTTGAATCTTTTGAGAAAAGTCTAATAAAATAAACCCTTGGCAAGAGCAACCATTAAAAAAATAAAAGCCATTAAGAGTATAAAAAGCAACATGACTATAGATGCAGTAGAGTTTTTAAAAATAAGAGAATTTGAAAACATACTTTTGAATAATTTACAGGTCAGAGATAACATAAAAGAAAGTTAAAATACAGGGAAAAACTATGATATATGAAAATGTGTAGAATTCAGCTAAAGCAGTTTTAAGAGGAAACTTTAATACACGTGAATTCAAAAACCGAAATGAAATGTAAAATTTCCTAGAAAAATGCAAATGACCAAAATTGACTCAAATAGAAAAAAAGTCTGCATATCCCTGTCACCATGAAAGAAATTGATTCCGTAATTTAAAATCTTCCAAACACAGACAAAAGACCCTCAACTCCAGTAGTTTTGTAGATGAGTGTTGCTAAAGTTTAAGGTATTTTTCCAAACTCATATATAAATTATTCCTGGTGTTAGAAAAATAGGGAATGTTCCTCAATTCATTTTACCATGCTAGATAACTTTAACACCAAAACCAGACATGAACAGTACAAGAAAGAACAGTTATAGTTCAATCTTGTGTGTGCACACAGATGTACCATTTGAAAACAAAATAGCAGAATACAGCCATCTATTAAAAAAAAATTAATACATTATGGCCAGGTTGGGTTTATTCCAGGAATATAAGGTTGGTTTAACATTAAAACATCCATTTACAAAATTCACCTGATTAACAAATTAAAGCAGAGTGACTCATGTGATCATTTTAGAATACAGAGAATAAGTTTTTATGTTAGTCTGTTC